ACTTTCCTTTTTGCATTTTCTGGGAGAAATATATATTTAAATATATATTTAATTTTTTTCTGGGATAGGTTTTAGGACCTTGTTTTTATTTTTATTTTCAGGATTTGTCTATGGTAGTTGAAGACCAGCTGCCTTGTTTTATTTAGGGAGACATTATAAAAAAATATACATTTGGTTAATATCTATATTATGTGAATGTTGATATTTAAGTGGTAATGCTATTTTTTTTTAATTAAAGCTCACTTTATTTATTTATTCAKTTTGGTAAAATACAGATTAAGGTCCTCTTCCTCTTTTTGAATTAGTAAAATGGTCTACTGCCACCTGGTGGCAGATTATCAGGAACGATAGGCAGGGATGAACTACGAACATAATTACAGTCATGTTTATATATTCACTCGTGTTCAATCATGAGCTCAAATTCATCAGGTCTAAAACAATTTATAATTTACCCTTTAAATTAGTTTTCTTAAAATGGGTTGAAAACAAATGTGTCCAGGTATCAAGCTCTACACAGATGTGATTTTTTTCTTAATCTGAAAACAAGGCTGTGAGGGTTGTTGTTCCCACCTACAAATGAGAAAATTGAAGTTGGGAGGTTAATTAACATCTCCAGTGAGATGCTGTCACTCTTAACCATTAGTCTACACTGCTTTCTAAGGTGTTGACGGGCACACCATCTGTAGTCACTCAGAGTTGAACCCTGGTGGTGCATGGACTCTCCCATCATTGCACTTCTCATGTTCCTTTGGGTTTTTTCTTGTCTCTATCAATTCTAATTGCCAGACTTTCTAGTCCACACCTTTACAACACCTAGAGTTTGTTAAATAACTTAATTKTTTATATTTAAATAAATTATAATGTGATCTACAACTACGTCTCACTGTAGACATTCAAATTATAGAGAAGAGCACAAAGTAAGAACTGAAAGTCCTTTGTCATCACTTTCATCATATCTCAGAGAAGAAGCACATATGAGTTTCGATTGGTTTTAAAAATATAAATAGGACTATATTATTCCGATTGCTCTGCAATGTACTCTTTTCATTTAATGATGTCTTAAAGATTTTTCTCTGTCATGTTGTAGCCTTTTACCCACAGTGGATACTTGATAAATTGTTTGCAAAATAAAAGTTAGACTTTAGTCACATATTCCTTTTGCCACAAATAGGCATTATTATTTATTTATTTTTTTGGTGGTGGTGGTACTGAGAATCAAACCCAGGACATTTTAAAATTGAGCTATACATCCCTAGCCCTTTTTATTTTTATGTTGAGACAAGGTCTTACTAAGTTGACCAGGCTGCTGGCCTTCAACTTGTGACTCTCCCTCAGTCTCTTGAATCATTAGAATTATAGGCATGAGCCACCATCCTTGGGTTTTTGCTCAGTTTTCATCTAATGGAAGCATTTATTTCTCCTGGGATATAAGTTATCATAGGTATTGTATCCTTTTAGTTATTAATTAATCAATAGCTTCTTCATGGCATAGTTATGGTACAGCAAATAGATTATTTTCATGAAATATCAATAGTGTGTATCTGTCTTATGTAAATATCTAATTTCTTTAYTATTTCTATAGGTCAATAGTTCTCAAGATTTAATGTGCATCRGATCCACCTGGGAGGCTTGTTATAACCCAAATTGCTGCATTCCACTTCCAGAGATTTTGGTTCAGTAGGTCTGGAATGAGGCCTGTGAATTTCCATTTCTAATAATTTCTGTGTGATGCTGATGCTCCTGGTCTAGAAACTCTACTCTAAAGWCCACTGCTCTGTTTGGGTCAGCTGTGCAATTTATATCTCATATGATATCTAGATCCCTTCTCAGTACTCATTGTTTTACTCCCTATAAGAACTGCAGGTTAAAGAGGGTGTCAAAAATGGCTGTGATGTGCCACCAAACCTCTGGTATGCATGTCCTTTCACAATAGGGCCARCAGGGACACTTAAAGGCAGAACTGAAGAGAATGGCAGTCCTGCCAACAACTCAGACCTCAAATTAAGGAATAGTTTTCACGAGTGCAGAGGGTGGAACTAGCTATTGTTTTCTCATTAGTCTCTGTGGCATCACATGCTCCAAAGATTGCAATCTATAGCAGGTGCGTCATCTTAGAGTATGAAGGATGCTATTATGATGCCGCTACATCCAGAAAACAATTTATTATTTATATTCTCTTCCTGGTAGGAGCTCAGCCAAGTAAAAAAGTGACCTGATGCATCCAGTAAAATATTTATATCAATTTCATCATTACTGTAGATTCAGTACTGAGTCCATAAAGCAATTATACCCATCTACTAAACAAAAATCCAAAATTGAGACAGGATTTTTAAAACTTACTATAGAGTTTCTTTATAGTAAAATTGCTTAATCTTTAATCATTTGGTTTACAAAAACTGCTTGCTTATATGTATGTTGGGTAATGGAAACATCATTTATAAGGTTGATTATCTAAAATACCAATATAATGTGTATACATAAAACATAATGGAATGTTTGTACTTGAGAATGAAATATAGGAGATAAAAATTATAATTTAAAGAATTTAATTTTCTAGATAAGTTGTAAATCTTGTAAAGGTTTACGTATTTATGTTTTGACCAAGCATTTTAATGTATATGAATAATCAATGCACTTTGAATGAGGAAAATGCATTGAGCTAATTAGGAGTATTTCATCCATGGTGCTTCTTCATTTGAAATACTGTGTGAAGAAATTTTGTCATTTCTGTAAATGGATTTTAAATATTAAATTTCACTAGGCATTCATGTATTCATAAAAACGTGTACTTTTTTTAAATGTCTTTGCTTAAACTTTATGCAAAGGATATTATATTGGTATGTAAATTTCTTCTACTTCCTTTTGTCTCTGAACAATTTATGCATTTCAACTTCTGAGTAAAAGTACACTTAATATCCATAACTAAGCTTATATATGTCGAAAACAACACTTATTATTTATTTATTTATTCATTTTTTGGGTGGTACTGGGAAATTAACCTAGGGCCTCATGCATGCTAGGCAAGCGCTCTACCACAAAAATTGTGTCCAACTTTTCAATGTTTGAGTTCTTTAGTGAATATTTTTGTCATATTTCTCCTTTGGCACACTCACCATATAAGTCAGGAAGTGAAATTGAGTAATGCAATATTGCTCTATAAATTTGTTGAACCAAATTATATTGCCACTAGTATTGTGTAAAGTTTTTTTTTTGGGGGGGAACTGGTAATTGAACTCAGGGGCACTTTGCCACTGAACCACATTCATAGCCCTTTTTATTTATTTATCTTTAAATTTTGAGACAGGGTCTTGCTGAGTTGCTGAGAGCCTGTGTTGCTGAGGCTGGCCTTGAACTTGTGATCTTCATGCCTTAGGCTCCTGTGTTTGGATTACAGGCATGCTTTACTTGATGGCTGTATAAAGTTCTTATTTCATATTTTCTCCAATATCTGATAATGTGAGAATTTTAAATTTTGGTCAGCATGAAAAGTGTGAAATTGTTTTTCATTGTGGTTTTTATATGTAATATTTAATTAGCATAGATAAAGACTGTGCTTCTTCATTTTTATTAATTATTTGGGTTTCCCATTTCTGTGAACTATCCAATTMTTTACTTTGCCATTTTTTTYCTACTGTTTTGTCTTTTGTTTTAGATCTCAATATAATCTGAATATTAATCTTATTTTTTGTTATATACTTTGAAAAATTTTCTCCAAGTTTGTGACTTGTATTTTAATCTTATTCTATAGTAATCTTGTTGGTGAGGGAGTTTTAAATTGTGATGCAATAAATATTATTAATTTATTCCTTTAAGGTTTGTATATCTTTTTCTTTTTGCTCTAGTCCAATGTCCTTAGAAAGTTTTAAAGTTTGCCTTTTATATAATAGATCCTTATGTGAAATTGTTGTGTAAGCTGTTGGTAGCATCTATATTTCTCTATGGATTATTAATAATATCAGCATCATTTACTGAATAATTTGTCCTTTCATCACTGTTCTATATGTTGGGTCAGTTTGAGTTTTTATTATGATTTTATTATTTAGTATTCCCTTGACTTATTTCTGAAATAGTAGGAAACAGGCATTTGTATTTTCTATGAATTTGTGACCTGCTACTTTGGAACTTTTCCATGTTTTTCATTGTTTCTGTTGGACCAATAATAGTCTATGACTGTTAATTTGGTGCTGACACTGAATCAGTGTGGCATCTATTAGTTTAGTTCCCCACCCCCAGTGTTTCCAGTTCTCTGTCTTCTGGTAAATGGTGGATTGCACTTTCCCCTCTTTTTGATTTGGGCATGGCATGTGACTGCTTGCCAGTGGATTCATTCATGAGTCAAAGCTTGAAATAGAATCTCTGCATCTAACTCTTATATTTTTGAAAGGGTAAAGATAAGAGGGTAAAGACAAAGGGTGAGGTGGCACCAAGAAGGTACTTCCCAGCCAGAAGTAGCTTTTTCATATAATCTCTTCATTAACCAAAGTTTCCTTTGTATTAATAAATTCCTCTTTAATATATTTTAGTGGGGTTGGGCCCCAATGGAGATGGGAAAAGAAAGGAATTAATGTTTGGGGGAGTATACTTTTAATCCCTCACACTGCAATATTAATTGAAATATTTGCCTCCTAACATCTAGGTGGTATTAGGTAAGCAGTGGACATTTGGATAGTGATGATGAGTAATTTTAGAGACTGGATCATGTTGGCTTACATGACAAGGACTATAGAGGGGCTTTGGCTTTGATAGAAGGAGAGAAMAAGATCTCAGATTGTAGGGATGAGGAGGGGTGTGGAGCAGGCATCCYCCAAGTTTCTGCTTCATAATTTATTTTTATGGACGTCCTGAAAAATCATTCAAGTGCAAAAGTCACTATTTATATTTGTAACGATTTATTTAGTGTGTCAGATGTTTCTGATGTTAGGACACTTTCTTGCTAAGTTTCTTGCTTTTAAAACTGAACGTTGATGTTTAATTAAGGTTTTACATCTCTCTCTTTTTAGGTGGTTCTTTGGAGCAATTAAAAGAGCAGATGCAGAAAAGCAACTATTATATTCAGAAAATCAGACGGGTGCTTTTCTCATCAGAGAGAGTGAAAGCCAGAAAGGAGATTTCTCCCTTTCAGGTATGGACATTATTTTGTGGAGTTGGAATATAAATTTGAGTATCTGCACTCATGAACCTGCTGTGTGGATATGGACATGTTAAACATGYCTTCTTTTGTTTTCTTCATAATAACTCCAAAATTAAATCTACRGAACTACTCAGGAGTAATATAAAAATTAACACAAAAATTTCCTATGGCTAGTAGTCTCTATAAACAGTTTCAAATATATGTACTCTAGATATGAAAGTGTAAGCACATAAATCTGGCTGTGTTTTTTCACTTCAGCATTATCTAGGATCCTTTTAGGGAAATGATAAGCAAGAAACAAAAACTATACTGTCTTCAAATTTAATTTGGCCATGATATAATTGTATATATGCACATATGCACACATATAATATATGCATTATAATGTATATGTAATGTATAAATKTTAACATATTATAACACATACAAACACACACATATGTATGCATTTGCATTTTACCTGTCTTTGCCTGGTAAATAGGAAGTGAATTGAAATGCTGAATGCAAATGCATTTAATTAACTCATGATATGTATGATGTCATCAAATGTAGTTTTCCAGCTGAAGGTCAAGTACATGTTTCTCCACCCTAGAAAAWACAGAAGCTTAGGAGACCTGAGAAAGAACTTTTGAGAGTTCAGGTGATACATGTAGGTCTTTGMTTTCAAATATCTTTAAAGGTTTATGTTGCAGTGTTGCACTATGGCCTTTTCTTAAAGTCTCTACACTAGTTCAGCTCTAAATATCAAAATTTCTCTCCACTTTCCTTATCCTGATCTCMAGTGGAAAAAAGCCTGTCCTTTGTGTTATTGTCCTCTTATTCAATTTTCCTGACTAGATGTAAACCTTGTAGGGGAAGAGACTTTGCTTCCTTTCATTCCTTCAGACCTGGAGTAAGTGCTTAGTACATGTGATGTCCCATACCTCACTGTGTTGGTCTGGCTCAGAGCTAGGAGTCAGGACAGCTTCATGGAGTCACAGTGAAGCAGGTCCTGAGCCCCCATGTGTTGGGAACTTTGAACCTGTACTCTGGTCATGAAATGTGTTTTTGGCATCTGTTACCTTTCTGCTTACCTGGTGGTCCCAAATATTAGAGCAGGTGGGTTGGAACTGGAGAAAATCAAGAATGGTATTATTGAGTCAGATTTTGCAGAGGGTCCTTTTGCCTATTCTGATACTAAATCTATATGATTTTTCAAAATCATGTGGATTTGACTCAACTCCTACCTTCACGGATGAGAGGTTAGATAACGCTGTTCTGATTATCATTCTTGAAATGTGTCCAAGTTTAACATGTCCCTAACCTTTTAAAAGTTGCTTATACCCAGGGCAGTAATMAAAATACTTCATTATGAGCTCAGAATAATACCCTACCTGGTTGGGACTTCACATTAATGTATGCCTGTACAAATTCAGATGACATGAATATTTTATATAACATTGTTCTGATTATAAAAAAAATTAAAAATTTATATAAACAGAAACAACTCAAATAAGAATTATCTAATATATCACTTTCTGAAAATAAATTTTGTGTTTGAAATATGTTTTCTGTCAACCTTTTTTTCTACWCTCCATCTGCATATATTTATATACAATCGTATACACTCACATCTTCATACACAGGAAACAAAATTGAGACCATCTTGTAAATATGGAAAAATCTATCTATGTATATGTATGTCTATRTGCACATATAAGCATATGTATACACACAATTTTGTGTGCATGTGTAATGTGGATCCAGGCTTCATTTTAAATTCTGTTTTGCAGTATCCTGTGACCATTTTTGCATGCCTTTTARTATTTTTTTAAAAGCTACATAACATTCCACTGTATAAACAACRATCATTTTATTTGACCTATTTCAAGTTTTGCACATTTTGTTATTTTCAGTGATTTTGMTATTATAAAATATGATATAGTGAAGATTCTTGTAGATAAATACTTGAATATTTAAGTATTTTCATGAGCATACTATATATGGATGAAGAAAACTGAATCTTTTTGAAGTCTATGCTTAATAAGAAGAGATACATGAGAATTCCTTGTTTAAATGCATTCATATTAGTTTATTTGCCTTTGACAATATTTATATATTAAATTAGGTAGTAATCATTTACAGTTAGGTGAAATGTTTCAGATCAGCATTAAAAATACATAAGACTAATATCTCCATGAGAAAAATAACAGCAACAGCTGAATTACGTGATTTTATCTTTGAATAACATTTAGGCTATAGCAATGGCTCAGAACATTCTCTAAAAAGAATATTATGGAGCAAAACAGATTTACAGGCTTAGAACAAAATTACGAGGATATTGGCTGTTGTGTGCTGTGAATACTCTAGAGCTTGCTTATGGATTTAGGAAGCTTTGTAGGCCTTGCTCAGAGACCAGCATATCATTATAGATTCTTTTTCAATGAAGTCAAACAATTTAGAGTCTTTCAAGCAAATTATCTGATTGCCATGTATTCACTGGGAGATAAAGTAAATGCATCCTATTATGTTCCCCTGAAAGGAAAATTTTCTTATTAGCCAGAGGAAAGGCTATGTGGGGGAAAAAAATGGAAAGAAAAAGGTCTTCAATATATCCACATTAAATAAACAAACAATCCAATTGCTGACTGTTGATTATCACTAAAAATCTTCAGATGTACCGCTCATGGATTTATTTCTTAGTGCAGTTGTCTCCTTAATCAGTCAGAATTGATGGTCTTCAATTTTGCTGACTGCTGTGCRGGTAAAGGCAGGCAAATAGTATCCCTTTTCTATCTCCATCTTTCCCACATGAGTTTTCCTTAGAAGTATTGTCTTTATTCCTTGGGCAGCACTGTCTTGCAGTTGTCAGGGAAGAGCTTCATGAGAGAGCATGATTTATTGATGCTGGGGTGGCTCTGAGAAGCAGCAGCCCAAGGTTGGGGTGGGTGCTAATTGGGTTGTTGTGATCCTTGCGTGACTGTCGGCTCTTGTGAGGTCTGAGTAGATCGGAAAAGAGAGTTAGGCCATGACACCTCTCATAATGGCAAGACACTAATTAGCTGTGAATTACAGCAGCGCTTTTGGATATTACATATTATATGTGGTAGCCAGAGAATCTGTCTTCATTAGATGCATGACAGGTAGTTTTAGTGGCCCTACTGTTATTTGTCATTGGTAGTGAATTGTTTTTCTGATGAAAAATATAAATTTCTGACTGCATGTCACTGGTTTGGCTACTTCTTGACATCAGTCAATTACTTAAAAGGAAATTATTACAYCATTATGTACAACTATAATGCACTAATAAAAATATGGAAAATAGAGAAAAAACAAAAAGGAAATTATTATTGTTATTACCATTAAYATTAATTTAATATTTGGTGTCCTATAAAGCATTGATATTATTGTTTAGAGTAAATTTTAAGGAACATGTAATTTGAGGGCTAAAATTCAGCTGTGGAGAGTTTTTCAAAACTCATTGCACATTATAATTTTGCTTTAGATGATTTACATATAAAACTTACAGAGAAGGAAGGGGAAATAGCTCAGTTGGTAGAGGGCTTGCCTAATATACCCGCAGTCCTGGGTTCACTCATCACCACCACCACCAAAACAACAACAACAACAACAAACAAACAAACACCACCAACAAAAATCTTACAGAGTAGGAAAGAGACTTCCAGATTCATCCCTGGTGAAACACTTTAAAGAACAAATAATAGCAGCTTGCAGGTGGTTGAAAAAGTGACTTCACTGAAGACAGACAAAGGGCTCGTTGACAATGCCTCCTGGAGGTGAGCTTGTTTATTTATACATTAGTTTATTTCTTCAACAAATATTCAGGGTGCCTATTATGTGCTAGGCTTTCTGCTAGGTGAAGGGAAGCAAAGCTCAGAGGGGAACAGTCTCTGGATTAAGTCTAGTAGTCTTGTGAGAGAAGAGGGGCAGGGGCCAAGCCTCCCAAGAAGATTTGGGGAGGGCTTCCTGGAGGAGGGAGCATTTGTGTTCTCTATCAATTTGTGCTACAAGGTGGCAGTGTGATTATTTTTGTCAACGACAAGTACACAGACCTCTGAGTACATTTTGTGTTTTGTGCAGTGGTGGGAAAGGTGTAGGATAGTGGAAGGATGTKTGTATGTGAAGTGTGTATGTCTGTGTGTCTCTGTGGATGGAGGGGCAGAAAATGAGTGGGGAAAGTTGGAGCTAGAAGGTTGAGGACTTTGTTCACCATACTGAGAAATTTGGGCTTTGTTCTACAAAGGAAAGTCCTAGGCAGGAAGTGATTTATCTGATCTGTTTTAGGTAGTTGCCTTCAATGTGAAGTATGGATGAGAAATTTATAAACATAARTCTGGGGATATGTGAGAAGAGCAAAGACAGGGGCATCTCTTGTTGCTCTCTGAAGTCACAGGTGAAAGGCAGAGTCCATCAGGTGAGAGGCAGAGTCCATCATCATTCTGCAGAAAAGCATTTTGGAACCCAAATTGGTAGGTTGCACATTAAGTCCCTGTTCCAGCACAGAGTGTCCCCCATCAAAGCGATATGGTCATTCTATGGCTTTCTTCTTCTTCTTCTTCTTCTTCTTCTTCTTCTTCTTCTTCTTCTTCTTCTTCTTCTTCTTCTTATTATTATTATTATTTTTTTTTTTTTTTTAATGGGGCAAGTATGAGAGTGGTCCTAGGACTAGGCATAAGAAGACTACTGTGGGTTTAACAGTCTCATTGTAATGTCAAGCATTTGCAGGGTTGTTTAGAAAGCCCAGAACTTATGGACTTCAGGTACTGTGGGAAACTGCAGCTCCTCTTTCTCAGAAGAAGCAACTGGGGAGCCAGTAGGAGCTGACTTTAGGTGCAACCTTTCTTGCTGGGTGGGGATGATGGCATTCATGCTGAGTGGACCCTTTGCATTGCAATCCAGAAAGAGTTCCTAGGATTTTCTTAAAGTCCTACTTGTCTGCACAGATGTTGGCCTGAGAAAGGATCAAGTTATGAGAAATGAAGAGAAAGGAA